AGGTGTCTCAGAAGCTGAGAAATTTAACACTTTCTAAAGGATCTAGGACTAGGACTACTGCCAGATTATAGCAGTAATCATAGACTGCCTGGGGACCTTGCTAATAAAACATAATTCAAACTTCACCCCAGAGAAACTGATTCACTAGGATCACAATGGGGCTCAGAATTATGTGTTATAAAAAGTACAACAAATGATTTGAATATCCATATAGATTTGGCGAGCACTTACTGCATGAAAGTGTCCAAAAACATTCCTTCCTGATTCCAGTGAGCTGCCCCTCCATTCCTACAACTTCCCACCCACAACACAAAGAGCTCATTTTTCTCAAAAAAACAGCTCTTTTACACATTTTTATGACATATCTTAATTAGGCAATAACTGTAACATACATACAACAGAATTTACATGAAAAGTAAATACTGTTCACTTTATAAGTACAAAGACAGGAGGTTTTTTGTTTTTTTTTGAGTCGGAATCTCACTCTGTCGCCCAGACTAGAGTGCAGTGGCCGCTCCTGGCCACCGCAGCCTCCACCTGCTGGGGTCTGGCGATCCTTCCGCCTCAACCTTCCAAGTAGCTGGAACTACAGGCACGCGCTACCACGCCTGGCTCATTTTTAAAATTTATTGTAGAGATGAGGTCTCACCAAGTTGCCCAGGTGGGTCTCGAACCCGCGGGCTCAGACAATTCACTCACCTCAGCCTCCCAAGGTGTGGGATTACAGGCTGAGCCACCAAGCCCAGCTGAGTTTTTTTTTTTTAAGCTACTTTTTTTTTTTGATAGACGACATTAATGTGGTTAATAGGTTTTTAAAAAGTTAGTATTGGGCTGGGCTCAGTGGCTTAGCCTGTAATCCCAGCACTTTGGAAGGCCGAGACAAGTGGATCACCTGAGCCAGCCAGCTAGAGACCAGCCCAGGTACCTTGGAGACCTCATCTCTACAATAAATAAATAAATAATCAGCAGGGTGTGGTAGCACATGCCTGTAGTTCTGGCTATTTGGAAGGCTGAGGCGAAAGATCGCTGGAGCCCAGCAGGTCAATGCTGGGGTGGCCATGAGTGTGCCACTGCACTTCAGCCTGGGCAACAGACTCCAACTCAAAAATAAAATAAAATAAAAATTAGTATTAAGTCAACCCCTTCGGGTCCCCTCCCGTTGTGGAAGCTTTTCTGTCCTCTTAATAAATCCTGCTTTCTAAAAAAAAAAAAAAAAAATTAGTATTAATCTCTGGTAATAATATTTTTTGTTTTTTATGCATCGTATAGCAATTTAACATAGGTAAATGTTTTCAAAACTAAACATCAGGCAAAAACTTATTTCAGGACACATCGCAAAATTAAGATAAACATCATGGCTGGGCTCGGTGGCTCAGCCTGTAATCCCAGCACTTCGGGAGGTCAAGGCAAGTAGCTTGCCTAAGCCCACGGGTTTGAGACCAGCCTGGAAAACTTGGTGAGACCTCGTCCCTAGAATAAATTTTAAAAAACCAACCAGGTTTGGTAGCATGTGCCTATAGTTCCGGCTGCTTGGAAGGCTGAGGCGGAAGGATTGCCGGAGCCTAGCAAGTCAACACTGGGGTGACCATGAGTATGCCACTGCACTCCAGCCTGGGCAACAGAGTGAGACTACGACTCGAAAAAAAAAAAAGATCAACATCACACAATAATAAGGGGAAAACATTAAAGCAACTGGTATTTGCTTAAAGAAGTTATATTCTACTGAGAAGGCACTCCACTGGCTTCTGATCTACTTTCCTACTTTTCTCCTAAGAAAACCTGTTGGATATAGGCTTTATGAGATATCTGCTAAATAGTGGACTAGAATCTTCTGAGGTTGGGGGAACAACTCTTGATGTCATAAGACCGACTGTCACAGTTTTGAGATTGGTGGTCCCAAGCATGTCTACAAAGGTTTAATGTCCTCTAAACACAACACTCTGTCTTTTGTGCTATGATGTCCATTGACAGCTGTCAACTCAGAGAGGCCATTTAAATGCATCCACGTTGTACCTCCTCTGCCAAAAGATTGCAGTGACAGCTTACAAGGATAACAGCTCCCTGAAAAGAGGCTTATAGGTTTGAAACGATCTTCTGAGAAATAAATAGGAAGGAAGGCAATGCCCAGTGAAGAACTCAGTCACACGTGGACTACAGCCCCGCATTTATGGAAATAATGGGCAATATTCTACTACAAAGTGTCATTTTGGATTGTATATTGACAGACGAAAACCAGGTAGGAGAAGAAGGCACTTCAGCTATTCTGGTTTAAAGGATATAAAGAAAGACCAATGAGAAAACAAGGTGTTTGTGCCAGTTAACAAAATTACTTAGACAGTTGAACAAAAACAGACAGTTGAACAAAAGAGTAGACAAATATGTATTTGTATAACACTCAACTCAAAATTACCATATACTTTTACATGAAGTGCTACACTTTCTATATTCAACAAAAAATACAGTACCTCTAGAAGACTGATTTCTACCCAACTTCCAAGGCTAGAAAATCAATAACTTTGCCAGTGACCTACAGGATAAATACCTATTTGGCTTCTGGTGCAAGGTGGTATACTACAGTTGTTTTAAACACAGCATTTTGATGATGAAACAATACCTTATTTTTACCTCCTATAAACTGGACACAAAATGTACAAGACTCGGGATTTTATTTCTCCCCTTTGAGATTAAATTTAAACTGTTTAGAATAACTTGCTTGTTCCCAAGGAAATGCAGTTACTCCAAATCAGACAAAAGAAGTCATATCTGGTCTTCTCAATCATTTGCAGGGACAGATAGAAGCAGGGAAACATGAAATTCTAATAATGCTAAGTGATCTTCTCCTGCCAAACACTCTAAAATGAAACAATATCTTATCACTGGGGAGGAACAAAGAATATCCAAAGTGCAACAGCAGCGAGATTTTACAATAAACTTAATATTACAGTGGTAGTCAAAATGCATACTTTATGTTAAAAACAACTGAGAGGTGAAGAAATTTGAAGAAATTAAAAAACAGAGATGTAGCAGATGAGAAGGACATCATACATAGGTACAAGGTGGTCTATCCTTTATGAAAGCAGATGAGGAAAAATTTGGCAGCTTCAGAGAATTAGCAATTGAAGAGAATTGCTCTATTAGGTGGATCAACTTGATAATATGCCTATTAATTACGCTATTTAATCATAGAACAAAGCCATAAGGAAACTTTTTCAATTCAAAGTGTTCTATTTAGAACTTTCAACGCCAAGAAAATCATAGTGTTCATTTTTTAAAAAATAGTTGGAGGTTTTTACAGAGTACACACCTTTAAAAGTCTTCACAAATCACCAAACACAAACAAAAATTCTACTGTGAGGGGCCAAAAGACAACATGAGTTTAATCAAGAAAATTTTCTCACTGTGTGTCATATTCATTTCCATCTATAACTTGCTATTCAAATAGCCTCTTGACAAATAGAGCTAAATTGGCTAGTTATCAATATTTATTGTTTGTCTCTGTGATCTACATCTATAGATTCCTGTCTCTAGATCTCTAGATCTAGATGACTAACATGAAGAAATGAGATGTCAAGACAAAAAAAGAGAAAAAAACAGCCACTGTTTCAAAAGATAACAGAATCAATGTGTACAGTGTCTGGGCCCAAATATTTGGAAACAAATGCATCTCATTTAGCTTCATTTCAGTTCCCTACGTAGCTTGAAGAAATAAAAGAATCATGTTTATTCAAACGTTTTAATATCAAATTGGGATATTATTACATGTTCTACCACATATTCATTTATGCATGGTCACAGCATATTTACATGTGACTAAAGACTTGGTTAATATATAAGAGAAAGTTTTATTAAGATGCTTCCACAAATGCAAAAAGCGCACATTTCAATTAATACAAATACATACAGCTATAATGTAAGAGATAGTAATCTTACAAGTCTTATCATCCGAGTTTCAATGCCAAAGTTCCTTTTCGATTGCTCTCAATTTAGATTGAGACAATTTTTATTAGATTGACTTCTTAGAAAATGTTACCAAAAGAAATACAAATTCCTTTCATTAGGGTGTATAATAAGCCGGCAGGTAACAATGACTAAAGGGACCTAACAATCTTGGGATTTAGTGACTTAAGGAGCAACTGAAGTTATGTCTGAGGAGCACAAAGTCAGGATTACAGCCTCTGTGGATCAATCCACCAGGTCCACACATTTGTTTACTAAGACTAGTGTTTTCCTTAAATTGGTAAATCACCTAATATAGGCAAAAGGCAATCAAAGCAGACTGTATGTGATTCTGACGTGCAACACGCTGGTGGTGTAAAACTAAAAATGCCTCAGCAAAATGCGTCCCATGGATTCCCAAAACACTCAGAACGAGATCCAAGGACACACACACCCCCCGAGTCCGATCGAGTCCCAGGCTACCCTCCAGCAGGATCCCTCATCTTGCCACTTCACATTCCCTCCACTCCAGACTGCAGGCGTCTTGCTGGTCTGAGAGCACACCCAGTGGATTTGGGGCATTTGTTGTTCCTTTGCCTGAAATGCTCTTCCTCTGGGTATCTCCCTTCAGATCTTGTTCAAATGTGACCTCCTCCGAAAAAACTTCATGACTGCTCTATTAAATGCAGCACTCTCTGCCACTGCCCCTTATCCTATTTAATTTTTTTTAATAGCATTTTCCTCCCCATAGCACCTGGTATTAGATAGGTTTGCCATTTTCTCTCCCACTTGTCTGTTCATTTGGCAACTCACAGCACTAGAATGGCCATGGACTTTATTTCTTCATGGATGAATCTTCACATTGTTTTGGGAATTAATTTACCAAACTGCATTTTTTCCCTAGAAAACTAAACGATCCCTATTAAAGAATTTACAACTTTACCTCAAGTGCTATAAATATTATCTTTTGATACAAATACATATGTACCTTAATATTTTGGGGTTACATAAGCATTAAGAGCAAATCAGCATACAGCTACATTAAAGTACAAAATTTTCCTTACCTGTATTTCTAAAATCATTCCATCAATCTCATCTTGTTGGTTGTCTATTATCTAAAACACAGGAAATGAAGCAGCCTAAATCAAATAACTTTTTACACTGCTTTTTAAAAGTAACAATATTTCAAGAAAAAAAGCACAGGAAACTATGAATTTATGTTTTAAAAGAGTTTTTTTCTAAAACAAAAGTATCATATCAAGTATCGTTATGATTTGGATCACACATATATCAAACTGCAAAAGTGTTCATCTAGTTCTTCATAAAACTTTTCTCTAATTTATGCAATTATAAAGATAACTGAATAATTTAAGAAGGAAAAATATGCTTTTGTTTGAACATTATTTAAATTTAAATTCTTTAAATTGCTAATTTCTTTCCAAATAAAAACAAACTAAAAATTCCATAGGCTAAAAATAAATTACATAAATTAGCTATAGTTATATATCAACATGCACATATCCACCCAGTATAGATATCATGTTCATTATCAAAGGTATCTACTGACCTTACTAGCAGCCTCATTTTGTTCTCTGAGACTGTCGTTTTCACTCTGAAGTTGTTTTGCATCTAACATGGGAAGGCGGATTCCATCTTCAAGGCATCTTTCTACTTTTTGTTGCAAACTGTTTAAAAAGTCGTAAGTATATGAAGAAAATAAGCTCTATCTGCCGATTCTGGTAAATGATTTCAACTTAAATTATGTCCTTTTTAGGATCTACAATATTTCTTAAATCAAGCAATAATCAAGACCCCCAGAAAGTTAGTTAATAAGTGTATCTATATTTCGTATAAGTTAGAAGGGTCTATAATTAGCTAGAGGTTTATCATTTTTTCAGAAATGGTAAAGGTGAGAATACAGTCCAGAGCTGCTCAATATGGGACATCCCTATCTTAGGCCCCAGTGAAGTCCTCCACTACCCAAATCTGAGTTCTACAATCTAGCTCCTTTTCTTTCCCTCTTCCCTGAAAGCAAAGAGTTCTTTAATTAAGATGCTTGTTGTGGGGGGCCTAAGATAGGGAAACGCATCTTTTGTCCTTTAACCTAAACTCAGAAAAAGCTTGCTTGTAAGGGTGGGTGTTGCCTAACTTAGCAGAATTACACCTCTCCTTCATTCACAGGAGCAGCAGCAATTGACTATGCACGCAACCTGAAACAGTGCGCAACCTGAAACAGTGTCTCACCCTGTCCTTGGAACAGAATTGCACTTTAGAAGAGGAAACAATAAAAGAAGTCTCTTTGACATTAAAAACAAAAGAATAAAGGGGAGAAGGGGAGGTGGTAAGTTGGTAGCTCTGAGAAAGGAAGTATATTAACATGCGGTTAAAAGGAATCGCATCATTAAACAATAATGGCCCAACCAAAACCAAAACAATAGCAGTAAGAAACCTAGGCATAGTTCTACTTCAGCTTGTAACCACACTCAAGAGTCTCAGAGTACTAAAGAAAGACTTCTTACAACCTGGGTTTTGATGTCTGCATTATCTTTCTCCTTTCCAGTATTATGGCTATCCTATGCCATCTCTCTCATCCAAAAAAAGAAGAAATGCCATATCTAGATTGGGGACACAGAACTGAAGTTCTAGATAGTACAATAAGAACCTCAGATATGTTTATTATTAATGGCATCACAGACAATTTCATGTGTTACCAATACAGTGTACTGCTTTATAATAAACTGTTACTTGTCATAAAAGTATTTGCCATTTCAGTCTATAATGAAAAATATATCTATTTCAGAATAAGTTTTTTAAACCAGTTCAGGGTCTAGATATTACTTCCACACATTTACAACTTTTTAAGAAAAACAAAATACATTAAAGTATTTCAAATTTGAAAAAAATGAGCCAGCTATGAAGAAGGGAACTATTATGAGGAAATAGCAAATTAGTTTTCTTTCATGTACACATTTTCAGGTTGCATAGCATGCTCACCTAGAAAAGTAACATATCTCTTAAATAGCATAGCTATCTATTATCATATTGCCAGGAATCTTACCCATATATTTAACTTTAATTTTCACTTCTAATGAATATATTTTCTTATTTATAATTTATAAAAATTCTTAAGTATTTATAAAGTAGGAAGCTTAGAAATGTTATATAAAAACATAAATATAATGATAAAACTCAGAGTCACATATACAGCTGAAGTCCTTTTGGAACTTAAGGAATGTTATATTACAGAGCTAAAGAAACTATAATACTATCCCCATGCCCCAAAGTCAAGTAACACTACACAAGTGTTGAAGAATTATAGAACAACTCCCTTGGTCCTTTATATCTATTTGAAATGAAGAGAAATTTTCTGGGATGATATCATTTCAGATGGTATCAAGATGAAGTTTAAAAATGGAAAATGTTATCCGAAATACACTGTACTAGTCTTTCCAAATCAAGAACACTAGGCTCTGTGTTCTCCAAAACCTAATAAAAGAGAAGGTATACAATCATATAAATATGTAAAAGTATACAATGGAACAAAATAATACTAATTATTTTCAGGTGTTGCTAATTCTGTTTTTAAAACAACACAGCTTAAGTCTATCATCATAGTGCTCTGTCAGAACAGGAATGAAACAAGATCATGGACTTCACAGCATGTTGGATGGACCTGGAGATCATCATACTTAGTGATCTATTACAGAAGCAAAGAACCAAATGTCGGCGGATGTACGGTACAGCAGGATGGAATTGGAGAGCATCATTCTATGTGAGCTAACTCAGGAACAGAAAACCAAATGTCACATGTTCTCACTCATAAGTGGGCCTTGAACACGAGTCACAGTACAAGAGAGAGAGTGGCAGTCACTGGGCACTGCCAGGGGAAGAAAGGTGGAGGCACATAACAGCATAAAGTGTACCTAGTCCTAACATAGGGAAAGTAAGGGCCAGTTGGAGGCCCAAACTTCACCTCTATGTAGCCTACTTGGGTAGTTAATCCTGACTTACACCTCACATCTCTACCGTTAAATTTTTAAAAAGAGAGTTTGATAAAGCTGTTGGATGTAAGATCAATGCATAAAAGTCAATTAAGTTACTGTACATCAGAAACATAATATTAAAATATATATCTTCAAAAAAAGGCAACACAGTGTCTCTTTTCATTGTATCAATAAAGATGAAATAAAAAGCTGTAAGGCTGATAGTGGAGATCAGCAAGTTGTTTTGACACTAGAGAATAGAGTATTAAGATGCAGTTTAAAAAGGGAAACTAAAAGGCAAGAAAACAAAAAAAAGAGAAAAAATAAAGGCAGAATCCAAAGTGTATGATTTCTTTGGAGCTGAGATCAGGAACACCGAAGACTGTAGTCTCAGAAATCAGAAATTTTCTGCATTAAAATCTGAGGGAAAAAAAAGTAGACCTGACATATTTATTTATTTATTTTATTTTTTGAGTTGGAGTCTCGCTCGATCGCCCAAACTGGAGTGCACTGGCCGCTCCTGGCCACCGCAGCCTCGCCTGCTGGGCTCCGGCGACCCTTCCGCCTCAGCCTTCCGGGTAGCCGGAATTACAGGCATGTGCTACCACACCCGACTGGTTTTTTAATTTATTGTAGAGATGAGGTCTCGCTGCCCAGGCGGGTCTCGAACCCGTGGGCTCAGGTAATCCACTCACCTCAGCCTCCCAAAGGCGTGGGATTACAGGCTGAGCCACCGAGCCCGGCTGACCTGACATATTTAAAAGTAACAGGAAAGTAACGTTAACATAAAATCTGATGAATTTTAGTTTAAAAGCTGAGAATACATTGAAATGATGCAAGCATGAAGAATACATTTCTTACATTTAGTTTATTTTGCTTTGTTGTCTTATTTTCTAGAGCAACTTTATCTGTTTTATCGAGTTATAGTTGTTAATACTGAGGCTTAAGTTTTACAAAAGTGAAAACACATGTCTACACATATGAAATAGCTACGTTTTTCAGGAATCCAACATTAGTCCCTAAGTACACAAACTGAATATATAAAAAAATGACATTCACTGTTATTGATTTAAAAGAATTAACTTAAATGAAAGGAGTCACATAGGCAAGGTAGGGGAGTAAACCTGGAAGGTATACGGCAAAACTGCCACATCTGTTCCTTGTGGCAAGGTGAGATGGGAGGCCATTTCTTCGCTTTGATATGCCCCATTAAGGGTCATATCAAATTTTGCTGGTCCCTTTTTGATATTCAGAATTTTTGCTTATTTTTTTTTTGACACAGCCATCAGACAAAGGAATTGTATTGATATTTTCAGTCTTCATTTGTGTGTTTTGTTTTTTTTCTATTCTCAACTAAGATCTTTGGCAAGATGTTGTTTCAAAATGCTAAATTACAACTAAGCCCACCTGTCTCAATGAAATTATTCTTCAGTTCTTAGTACGGGCTGAGCATCCTAACCCAAAAATCTGAAATCTGAAATGTTCCAAAATCCAAAACTTTTTGAGCATGGACATGATGCTCAAAGGAAATGTGCATTTCAGATTTTGGACTGTTGAATTAGGGATGATCATCAAGTATGCATTCCGCAAGTATTCCAAAATCTGGAAAAAATCTGTAATTCCAAACCCTTCTGGTCCCAAGCATTTTGGATAAGACACACTCAATTTGTAGTACATCTTTAAGGAGAATAAGTAAATAAACATATATTTTAAAAAATACTTTATAAAAATGATTAACTTAAAAAGAACGTAAAAGGATGCTGAAAGTTTTCTTACCTCTGAACAGTAGTTACTAACTCCTTTTCTTTCTTTTTCTGGCATATCAACTGTGCCTCTTTATCTTGACACTGTTTTCTGATCTCTTCAAGCTCCTTTTCTGTATCTATTAAAGTCTCTTGCAAATTCTTATTTTTTTCCTCAAGAACCTGCAGCTAAGGAGAAATTTTTTATAGTTCATATTAAGTATGTTTATATTAGAAGTTGTTACTGTGTTCCCAAGGATTAATAGGACTTACAGCTAAAAATCATACTATCTTCATTTTATCTAGATTTAATACTCCATCGCCTTCTTTGTGTGGAATGCAGTTGGGAGAATGGAATTACAAGGGAGATAATGGGGTTAGACATTTCTAGAAGACGCAGAAAATTTAATAATCTTACTTTTTTAATTAAAAAATTGTTAAGTTGTGGTAAATATATATAACATAAAACTTACCATCTTAACCACGTTCAAGTGTACAGTGCAGTAGTGTTCAGTACATTCACACAGTTGTGCAACTTATCTCCAGAACTCCTCATCTTGCAAAACTGAAACTCTACATCCATCAAACAACTCCCCATTCATCCTTCTTCCCATCCCCTAGCAACCACCTCGCCACTTTCCGTCTCTATGATTTGACTACTCAAGGTACCTCATTAAGTGGAATCATGCAATATGTGTCTTTTTTATTATTAACAGTTTAATTCATTTAGTAAAATGTCATCCAGGTTAATCCGTATCACAGTAGGTATCAGAATTTCCTTCCTTTTTAAAGCTGATAGTACTCCACTGAATGTATATACCACCTTTTGTCTATCCATTCATCTGGCCATGGACTCTTGGACGCTTCCACCTTTTAGTTATTGCGAATAATCTTGTTATAAACGGTGTACAAACATCTGTTTGAGACTTATAATTGCCACTCTAATGGATGTAAGGTGGCATAATCTTATATTTTAAAATCTATACTGCCCTCTGTTCCTGCTTATACAACTTCCTATAGTCCTTAAGTTCCTTCCTGACTTTAACGTCTCTTGGTTATAAATATAGAATAAACAGAGAATGCTATGTAGGTTTTAAAGTATGCAGAACGATACTCCATGGATTAGACTAATTACTCTCGACTGGGGGCTATTTTACTCCCAGGGTACACCTGGAAATATCTCTTGACATTTTGGTTTTGGGAAAGAGGGGAAGGAACAGTGCTGTTGTCATCTAGTCAGTAGAGATCAGGAATGCTGATGCAGAAATGTGTATCCTTCAGTGCACAGGGCAGACTCCCGTAACAAAAGATTATCTGTCCCCAAATGTCAACAATGCCAAGGCTGAGAATCCCTGGACTGGAAAGACTTTGGGAACATGCTGAAGAACAGACCTAATGGATTCAGAAATAGTTTCAAGAGGGTAGACCCCGCAAGAATTAGCAGGAAGACTTTGGATGAGGTATTATTAAGAAAGGAAAATAGAAGAGAACTCATGAGGAGTGAACAGAAGTCATAGATCAAGGTTTAAGAAAAAATGTACAGAAAGGTTAAGAAGAGTCAGAAAAAATCCACTATTTAGGAAGATAGTCAACAAAAGGTCATGTTGAGCCTTGGTGAACACAGAGGATCCTGGGAAAAACCAGAACCAAGCATGTGCATGTGTGCGTATGGGGTGGGGGTTATCAGACTGGCTTAGAAACTGACTTTTACAGTAGAAGTTAAGTGAGAGTGTTATTACCACATAAGATCATTAGGAGGGCACAACGTATTACTTGACAAGAAAGATCTACTTATTCATGTTTAGATGAACAAAGTTTTTAATTAAAGTTAAGTCCTAAAAAGAGCCATTAAACACACAGATTAAACTCATAATTAGCCAGACTTCTAAAGAGTCAATTTAAAAAAACATATTTTCATGTCATTTAAAGATGAGCATTTTATTTCATGTTACCTGTAGACTCTGACGCTGTACGTCATCCAGAGTTGGAAGATCGGCCAAATACTTTTCCAATGTCTCAATTCTTCTCTGCTTTTCTTTGTTTTGTTCAGATTCTTTCTGGCATTTCTTCTTCAGACTACTGATGTACCTATCTCTGGTTTTAAGCTAAAGAAAGCAATCAGGAGTTGTCAGTAGCTTTGCATCACTAAAAACAAAACAAAAAACCAATACTCCAATCTTAGACACTGTTGAATTCACCAACACTTCCAGGTTACAGTGAAGACCACCAGCAACTCTATTAAGATTTACCGTGCTTCACACTGCCTTATCTACAGCGAGGCTATTCGTCTTTTTGAGGAGTGACACTGCCATCTTGGCGTCTGTTATCAGTCTTTCCCATGTCTCTGAGAAATCGGCTCCACTGCGCACCCACTAACATCTTTGATATCTCTCTCTTTCTCTCATTGTTCCTTCTCTAGTCCTTTATTTGGGGTTACCTCACTGTTTTCTTTCCCATCTTGGCAGAAATTACTGGAAATAATCCATTAATACCATCAGATAAACATACACATGAAATAGTTCAACGATACATCCAGTAATTCATTATTCAGTAATTAATGCCAGGTGCCACGAAGGAAGCTGCACATGCCACAGTGACACATCCAGATACGGTCTCTGCCTTGAAAGAGCACAGAGAGAAATATAAAGGGGGGCTTTATCAGGCTGAGACTTGAAAGAAGACGTAGGTGGGTAGGAAGTAGGAGGCAAGAGAGACAGGTGTTTATCAGGCAAAAAGGCCACTTTGTGTAAAGATCCAAGACCAAAAACAAATCCTGACTCTAAGAGCCATCATAAGGCACAGTGTACCAAGACACAGTTTACCAGAGGAAAACTATATATATATATAAAATTAGTCAGCATCTTTCAGACCATGAGAAGAATTTGATTCATATTTTAAAGACCTAGGGAATGACATCGGCAAGATGGCAGAATAGGGGTCCTGGACTCTCCTTCCCGTCACCAACATATCAATTCATTTTTTTTTAAAAAATGGACACATTCCTTTTGCAAAAAAAATCAAAAAATTAGTTGAGAGCTGCTGTACCCTGGGTGAATGCAAAACCAGTCATATGAAAACCATTAGGGAAATTCAAAACACCCTCTCATTGTAATCCTTATGCCCCGCACACCATAATATGGTTAGAAGGAAACCCACTGGGAAAAAAAACAGTTGGACTGCACATCCAACAGCCCAACTTTACCAGGGCATTAGAAGACTGGCTTCTGTCTTGGAGCTTGCATGGGACGATGATATTCTAGCTGACTAGGGACCAGTGAGATCAGAGATGGTCGTGTAGCATGGCAGTTGCCATAACCCAACTCAGCATATGGCAAAGGGAAAAAACTCGAGATCAAGCTTCTTCCTGGAAAGAGAAAGCACTAGGCAGAGCATCCAACAATCTGACTTTTCAGAAGACTACCCAAGGGACTGGCTTCAGTCTCATCTGTCCCAGAGAACTTTCGGGGTTTGGCACACTACTGAAGACTGGAGGACGCTAAGAACAAATCGATTGGGCTGAACTAGCAAAGATGTAAAAGGCCCCCAAAATCTCCAGCCAGGCTGATTAGTAAGAATCTTTTCCTGCACAAGACCAAGTTGTGAAGAGTGGGAGAAACAGCTGTTTTATCTAACATACAGATACCAACTTAAAAAGTGAAGGGAAATGAACAAACAGAAAAACATGCCTAAAACAAAGAAACAAAGTAAAGTAAATCTCCTAAAACCAAGCCCAATGAAACCAAAATATATGATTTACCTGAAAGAGAATTAAAAATACCCAAAATTAAGATGCTCAATGAGTTCCAAAAAACAATGAATGAAAAAATATAAAGAAAATATTTTTTAAAAACAAAAAATCCACTACAGGGGTTCAACTGCACTCTAAATCAAGCAGAGGAAAGGATAAACACACAAAGACAGGTTTTTGGAAATTATCTAGTCAGGAGCACAAAAAGAATAAAAACGAGTAAAGAAAGATTAAAAACTTATGGACACCATCAAGCAGACCAATATACACATTACAGGAGTCCCAGAAAATAAGGAGAAAAGGGGGCATACGGTTCATTCCAAGTAAATAACTGAATACTCAAATCTGGGGGGGAGGTAGGGAATGGACATCCCGATTCAGAGGGCCCAATAAACCCCAAATAAGATGAGCCCAAACAAATACATACCAGGAAACATTTAAATCAAATTGTCAGAGTCAGATAATTTTGAAAGAATCAATTAAAAAATGACTTGTAATATAAAAGAGAACTCTAATAAGACTACAGGCAGATTCCTCAGCAGAAAGTTTGTAGAAAAGTACAAAGTGGGATGATAAATTCAAAGTGCTGGGGGTGGGGGGAATTACTGGCAACCAAGAATACTACACTCAACAAAAATGTTCTTCAAAAATGAAGGTGAGAGAAAGATTTTCCCAAACAAAAGCTAAAAGAGTTCAATATCACCATGCCTTATAAAAAAAAGTTAAAGAGAATTCTTCATGCTGAAATAAAAGAATGCTAAGGAGTAATATAAAATAAAGTCATCCCTTAGTATATGCAGGGAATCAGTTCAGGACTACTCCCAAATCCACACAAACCATCAGATCTCATGAATACAAAAAGTCCACACATACATTGGTCTTACATCTCATGAATACTCTACTTTTCATCTGCATTTTGTTAAAAAAAATCTGCATAAAAGTGGACCCATGTGGTCAAGTCTATGTTATTCAAGGGTCAACTGTATAAAACTTGCTGATAAAGGTAAATATATAGATAAATACAGAATAATTTAATACCATAATGGTGGTATATAAATCACTTTTAATTCTAATATGAAAGTTAAAAGACAAAATTATTTAAAATAACTCGTAATATAAAATGCTATTGTACATGATATAAAAAATATAAGTTAGGATATCAGTAACATAAAAAAGTGGGAGAAGTACAGGTATTTTTTAATGTGACTGAAGATAACAGCTTAAAAATAGACTATGATAAATACAAGATATCATATGTAAGTCCCTGGTAACCACAAGGAAAATACTTATACAAGATATACAAAGAAAGAAAGGAATTAAAGCCTATCAATACAAAAAAACAACAACAAAACTCAACCAAACATAAAGGGAGAAAGCAAAAGAGATAAAGGGCACAAAACGAGATGACAGAAAATAAACAAAATGGCAACAGGAAGTCCTTGCCTATTGATAACTACTTTAAATGTACATGGGTTATCTCTACAATTAAAAGACATCGAGTGGCTGAATAGATTTAAAAAACAGGATCTAACTATACGCTACATGTCTACAAAATACAAAGTATTTCTCAAAAGCATCTTTTAAATTTAAGGATACACATAGATTGAAAGTGAAGGGATGGAAAAAGTTATTCCAGGCAAACAGTAATCTAAAGAGAGGAGGGGTGGCTATCCCACGTTAAACCCATCAGAATGGCCATTAAAATATACTTTAAGCCAAAAACTGTTACAAGATACAAAGAAGATATAATTATAAAAGGGTCAATTCAACAGGAAGATAAAACAATTGTAAATATACATGTGCCCCACATCAAAAAAAATACATGTATAAAAGAAACTGATAAATCTGAAAGGTGAAATAGACAGCAAACATTTCAACAAACAATCAATAATTCATTCTCAATAATAAAGAGAAAATCCAGACAGAAAAGAAATAGGGAACAGCAGAAATGAACAACGTAATAGACCAAATGGACCTAGGAGGTATATACAGAACATTTGATTCAACAGCAGCAGAATACTCATTCTTCTCAAGAGCACATGCAACATGCTCCAAGACTGATCACATGCTAGGTCACAAAACCACTCTTAATAAATTTAAGATGACTGACATCATTCCAAGTGTCTTTTCTAGTCACAATGGAATTAAGTGAAAAATCAGTAATAGAAAAAGAAAAAAAATGCATAAACATGCACAAATTACACATTCGTAAATAATAGTGGAGAAAAGAAGAAAGCAAAAAGGAAATTAGAAAATATTTCCAGACAAATAAAAAAAGCACAATATACCAAAACTTAAGAGATGCAACAAAAACAATAAGAAGGAAGTTTATAATGACAGATGGTTGTATTAATAAAGAAGATTTCAATTAAATAACCTATCTATATACCTCAAGAAAATAAAAACACAAATTAGCACAACAAAGGAAATAATAAAAATTAGAACAAAAACAAACAATATAAGCACAATAGAAAGAAAAAAAAAGATAAAACGAAGAGTTGTTTTTTTGGAAGGACTAAAACATCCAGAATCTACAAAGAATTCAAGCGGATCAACATGAAAAAAACAACTCCACTAAAAAGTAGGCAAATGACATGAACAGACATTTCTCAAAAGAAGATCTACAAATGGCCAACAAACCTATGGGAAAAAAAAATGCTCAGCATTACTAATCATCAGAGAAATGAAAATTAATACCACCTTACATCAATCAGAATGGCCATTAACAAAAAATCAAAAACAATAATGTTGGTGAGGATGTGGTGAAAAGGAAACACTTATACACCGTTGGTGGGGGTGCAAATTAGTACAACCTCTGCAGAAATCAGTATACAGACTTCTCAAAGAACTGAAAGTAGATCTACCAATCAAACTAGCAATCTCAGTGCTAAGTACCTGCCCAAAGGAACACAGACCATTATACAAAAAAGACACCTGCACTTGGATGTTTATTGCAGCACAATTCACAATTGCAAAGATGTGAAATCAACCTAAATGCCCATCAACTGATCACTGGATAACACAAATATGGGGAGACACACACACACACACACACACACACACACACACACGTTCAATAGAATACTATTGAGCTACTTTTTTAAAAAGACTGAAACAATGTCTTTTGAGTAACTTGAATGGAACTGGAGAACATCATCCTAAGTGAACAAAGACCAAACACCACGTGTACTTTAAAACTGGGCGCTAAACTAAGGACCTGCAAAGACACAGCGAATGACATAATGGACACTAAAGACTCAGAGGGGGCAAGTGGGAAGGGATGGTGGGATAAAAAAAATCACTTACCAGGTACAACATGCACAGGTGGGGGTGGTATGTACACGTAAAGCCCAGACT